ACCCTTAGAGAAATGCATATTACATCCACAATGAGATAGCACTACATACATATCAGTATCACTAAAAAATTTTTTAAAATGATAACACCTGCCCAGTCTGGTGTGGCTCAGTGGACTGAGCGCCAGCCTGCAAACCAACGGGTCTCCAGTTTGATTCCCAGTCAGGGCACATGCCTGGGTCAGGTCCCCAGTAGGGGGCATGCAGGAGGCAACCACACACTGATGTGTCTCTCCCTCTCATTCTTCCTCCTTTCCCCCTCTCTAAAAATAAATAAATAAAATAATAATAATTAAAGGAAGGTAACACCAAACAATGCCGAGGCTTCAGAGGAGCTGGATCACTGACAATGCTGATGCGAATGTGAAATGGTACAGCCACTCTGAAAACCTGCTGGGCAGTTTCTGAAAACAGACTGTGTGCAACTACCATGTGACCTGACATTTACACTCTTCAGCTTTTATGCCATAGAAATGAACTTACATTCACACAGAAACCTGGCCGTGTATATTTACAATAATTTTCTTCATAATAGCACCCAAACCGGAAACCACCCTGATGTCCTACATTAAGTGAATGGTTACACAAACTGTGGTATCTCCATAGTGTAAAATTACTGCAAGGCAATAAAAGGAATGAACTACTAATCTGTGCAGGAGCTTGGGTGAATCTTCATAGAATTACGCTTAGTAAAAAAAAGCCAGTCTTCAAAGGTTACATATTGTGTGATTCTATTTCCGTAACATTCTTTTTGAAATGACTGAAAATTATTGAAATGGACAGATTAGTGGCTGCCAGGGGTTAATCAGGAGGTGGGAGTGGCAGGGGAGTAGGTAAGGATATAAAAGTGCAGTATGAGGTAGTGGTGATGGAAATGTCAGTGTCCTGGTTGACATACTGAGCTACAGATTTATAAGATGTTACCACTGGCGGAAACTGGGTAAAGGGCACATGGTATCTCTCTGTATTATTTCTTAGAACTGTGTATGAATCCATAGTTACCTCAAAATAAAAAGTTTAAAGAAAAAAATGACAATAAATTTGTACTAGAGAGTATATGACAACAATGTCTGTGTGGAAGAAGTCCAACCACTGTTACTATAACGAGAACGGTTTGTACAACATCAGTGTAACCTGGCAGCCAAGGGGAATGGACTGGAATGTGCATGTGTGAACAATGATGACTTCATGGTACTAGTCAGTGGGGGCAGTAGACACTGATGAGTGAGCATGTGTGCTGTGTGGTCATCACATTCAGTATGACTGAGCAAGTGGAGCAATGCATCTGCATCAAATTTTGCATTAAGTTTGAACATTCCTCCACGGGAACAATTCATATGATTCAGAAGGCTCTTGGAGACAATGCAGCCAACAAGTGCATTGCAAATAAAAGTGTGGTGCAAGCCCTACAAAGATGGTCAAGAGTCTGTTGAAAGTGAGCCACGTTCTGGAAGGCCTGCAAGAAGCAGAGCACCTGAGAATGTTGAACATGCACAGGCTGCAATCAACAAATGTCGCCAACTGAAAGTACGAGAACCAGAAGCTGATGTGGGGGTTTCAAACACGACTGTGTCCGAGATTTTAATACAGGATCTCGGCATGAAACGTGTTGTGGCAAAATTAGTGCCGTGGCTTCCGCTACCAAGAGCAGAAGGAACATTGTGCTGCAGTTGCTAATGATTTGATTCAAACTGCTACCAGTGAACCAGACTTCCTCACAAAGGTCATAACTTTGAAGGGGACTGGGGAGTCACTGTCCTATGTACAGTGTTTCTTGTGTCATATCTTCTTCAATAAATGTCTCTATTTTTCATATTACATGCCTGGATGCTTTCCGGACACGTCTCATACTCTTCGTATCCTGCCGTTTTAGAGTGTCTAAGAAGTCCTTTTGTGCGCTAGGTCTTACTAGTGTCCTTCCTGTCCAGCACTTTTATGATTTATTCTTCTTTTTTAATTTTATTTTTTTAAGATTTCATTTATTTTTAGAGAATGAGGAAGTGAAGGAGAAAGAGAGGGGGAGAAACATTAATGTGTGACTGCCTCTCATGCACCCCACACTGGAGACCTGGCCTGCAACCCAGGCATGTGCCCTGACTGGGAATCGAACTGACAACTCTTTGCTTCACAGGCCTGTGCTCAGTCCATTGAGCCACACCAGCCAGGGCTATGATTTTTTTTCCCCAAAATTTTCCCTCTCCATTGGCTCCTGCTCTTTTGCCTCTAAGGGGGATGCCTTTCTACCACTCAATGACACACAAAAACCCTAAAATTAACAAGCAGTTTTCCTTTTGCTTCTCCCTTTACACTTATTACCACACTTGAGTCTTCTTTGATACGTATTTCCTCCTCAACTTCTCTATTTAGTCCATCTGTCTACAAGATCTGTCATTTTACCTCCTTCCAAGCCACTGACTGCCAAGTGTCCCCACAGTTACTACAGTTGCCTTCTCACTTTTCTTCCCGCGTATAACTCTGACCTCATTCCAGATGCACCTTTGCACTCCTGCCGGGCCAGTCTTTTCAGTGCTCACCCCTCACTGCATCACTGAAAACCCCCAGCCATTTTTTAAAATGTGTCATGGATTTTCACTGTTTTTAGGTTAAGGACTCAGAATTTTTAAAATGGCTTTCAAAGCCATGGGTGGACTGCTCCATCCTCATTTTTCTCTTTTTCTATCTCACACCTGGCACGCTGGTTATTTTCAGATCCCCAAATGCAGTTTGACTTTTTCTGCCCCAGTTCCTTTGCATGAGATAGTCTTCTTTTTGAAATATTTTTTTCCTGTCATTATGTGAGTTCCTCCTTTTTTGTTAGATCTCAGGGCTAAAGGGTTACTTTGGTCAGGAAAAACTTGATTCTAATTTCCTGGCAGGTTCTTCTGATATTCTGCTTTGTGGAATTACCAACTTTTATGTCTGTCTTTCGCACTAAGTTGTGCAACAGCACCGATTGCGTGTTCGTTCACTGCTGCATTCCTTGCTGCTACCTGACACATACAGGCACGTCCATAAATGTGTTCACTGCACTAATAAATCCCTCTCCTTACATTCGTCATCCAACCTTTGTAAAGAGTGGCCAGTACTTTTGCCTTCTAGTTCCCTGTCGTTACTGCCGTAGTTCACCTCTTTCTTTTTAATTCTGGACCATTACAATAATTTTACAACCAAACTTCCTGCTTGTAGTCTTTTCCCCACTTCTTTCTTCACTGAATCTGACCATGTTACTCATCTGCTTAAAAGCCTTCCACCTTTGTCAAAAATACAGGTCTCCTTAGCATACCAAGCTTCCCTGGACTGACCCTAGCTACTCAGGGACACGCCCACACAGCCATGCTCCTTCTGTTCATCCTTGCTCAGCTGGAGTCCACTGACTGTACATACTTTTTCACATACTGTTTCTTTTGCCTGCATCTTTGAAATTTGGAATTGTAGAGGCTTGCATGCCATTTTACAGTAAGCCATCATACAGTTTTGTGAGCAAGTTGAAGATATTCTTCCTGTCAGCTTTCACTTAAGGATAGTAAAATCAACTCCAGAGTGATTGACTTCTGTTCTTCTGGCACTCAGTTGTGGCAAATATGAGACAAAACAAGTAGTAGCAATATTTTTAGTGTAATTATTAGATATCATTCCTGTATCTTGATTTCAAAAGTACTGTCCCAACTTACGTTTCAGATGAGGTACTGCCAGTTTCCCACGTGCGATTGTGGCTTTCTGTTTCTGAAGCCTGGTAGTGATTTTGTCCGAGGGTGAAACATAGTATTTAATGTTGTAATTTTATCTTATTTGGTCTTATCTATTTTACCCCAGTCATTCTTGCTCTATCCCATTATAAATTGTCTTGCTTCTCTGCTCTATCCCATAAAGTTGGGATCTGAGGGCATAACTGAGATACTTTGAATGGGAAGGCCACTTAATAAGGTTTAGCAATGACCTTGCAGGGTATTTCTTCAAGAAGTTACCAAACCCGACTCTGGTTTTTCTCTTTCTTTGGTCCAGAACTTAATCTTGTCTATCAGATTCAGGAATACTACCCAAGCTCACAGTGTACCGAAACTGAAGCCAGAATAGCTCTTTACTTAGGATGAGAATTCTAAATGTGGCATAGACTAGATAGTCATTTCCTCTTATTTTTTCCTATCAGGAATTCTATATGACAAGCCAAATGATCAGAATATTTCTGTTGAGCATAGATATAGACAGAAAATGTAACACTATTAATATCTCAGAGAAAAATCTGCCCATGTGAAAACCAGTTTAGATGTAGAACCTCAAAATTAAAATTGAAACTCTCCAGTCTCTTCAAATGAGCTAAACTAGTTCACTTTATAAAAATTTGATCACAGTATTGATTTGTAATTTCTCCCTCAGTGTTACAGATCACATGGTAGAGTTGGGTTGGAAATGATCGGAGTTCCTGTTGATAATGGCACCGTGGTGGCTGGTTCATGCGCAGCCACCACACCCGAGGAACTGCTCTCTGGCAGCGGCCCCTCTCTCCCCCTTCCCTTCCTCTTTCTCCCCTTTCCTGGCCAAGCCACCATAGGAAACTTTCAGCAGGCGCTGTGACCTCCAGCTTACTATTTCTGATCTGATATTTTGCCCTGTTAGTCATCTCATTGTGGCATAGCTGTTGTGGTGGAGTGACTCTCAGACTGATTCCAGACTTTAAAATCACATGATTTGCAAAACAAAAATGCTGGGCACAGCAGGGACACAGAGATGGGCTGTGGAATTGGTCACAAAAGTGATACCCCTTTGGAATAATTAGAAATGCCAGAGATGATTCCTTATAACATTTTGATTTGTATTTGTGACATTTGTACATGAAAAATATGAGGAAAGCAAATTGGACTAAATTCTGATAATTTTATGTAGGCTTTGTCCATCTAAAGCCATATAAAATAATAGTACTGCTTAGGTGTTTTCCGTTTTATGTGGAGAATTTCTCAGGTATTATTTCCCTAGTTCTGAAATGTATCAATATTTTTATATGCAGCTCTGAAAGATTGGTATTGCTGGCAGGTGGTTGTCTGGAGATCAGCGATGTCACTGAGGATGATGCTGGGACTTACTCTTGTATAGCTGATAATGGAAATGAGACAATTGAAGCTCAAGCAGAGCTTACAGTACAAGGTATGTCAGTATTTCCTGTTTAAATAAAAATCCTGTGTACTTTATGGGTTTGCCAGTTTTTTAACATTAACATGGAAGAAGCAATACAGCATAATAATTAAAAACCTGAGCTTTAAACCAGACTGCTTGGTTTCACATTCTGGGTCTCGTATTCATTAGCTGTATAACTAGGAAATTTACTTCTCTGAGCTTCATTTTTCTCAACTGTTAAATGGAGATATTAAGAGTACTTAACCTTGTTTTTGAGGAGTAAAAGTTAATATTTGTAAAACTCCCAGAATAATGACCAGAATATGGTAAGAGCTTGAAGTTACCGTTATCATGTGTAGTCGTAGTGCGGGCATCCGTGCACTTCAGTACACTGTCTCGCCTCACAGCGTTTCCTCACAAAGACCTCTGTTTTCTGACCCAGAACCATGAATTTCTTAGGCATTGGTATTCCCTCCGTTCAAGTGAGTAGCTCACCCAGGACAAGGAGTGCAGTGTGGCTCTCAGTGTACGTGGTCATCTGTTTGATGATTGGTTTCTTTCTGTTTAGCCAATGCCGAGCCTCGCAGCATCTTCCCTTACAGGCTCTCTGATTTAGGAGTCATGGAAAATGAGCGTGGCATACGCATATAAACTCTTTATCCCATTTCCCTTGCCTTTCCTCTGTATGCAGATATACTCTCTCTCCTATGATTTGTCTGCACCCTCTTTTATCTTTGTTTTAAATAAAAACCTTTAAGACCGCCATTACTTTCAGGGAAATCCAACAGTGCTTGGATATGTAGAGGTATTTATCGACTGATGATATTTATCCTCAACTTGTCCCAAATTGTCTTGGTAGACTACTTCCTGATCTATGATTTGGGGTTGTTTCACATTTTATACAGAAGTATTTCTCTTGGTACATTTTATAGGTTTTAGAGTGGGAGGTAGAGTCGACACATTCTTACTCAAATGGTTACCAGAGGACTCAAATGTGTTTTGCCTAAGGATTGAGGAGCAACCCCGGCCAGGTGGCTCAGTTGGTTGGAGCATTATCCCGTACACAAAAAGGCTGCGGGCTCAATTCTCAGTCATGGCACCTAGCTAGGATGTGAGTTTGGCCCCTGGTCAGGGTACAAGCAGGAGGCAACCAACCATTCTGTCTTTCTCTTTCCCTGATCCCTTCCTTCTTCTTTCCCTCCCTTCCTCTCTGTCTCTAAAATCAATAAACATATTCTTGGGTGAATATTTAAAAAACTGAGGAGCAGAATGTTTGGGACTTCTGTACTGGGGAAGGCAATAGAATGTTCGTATTCTCAATTGCCGTTTGTAGATGGATTCATAATCTCTGAACATTGAAAGCGTAGGCCTTGGAGTTCACGTTAACACTTACCTCAGTGAGCTAGCTCAACCATCATTCTCGGCTAGACAGAGGGTTGGCTGTGAGCAGCTATAAAATGACCAGTGTATTACTTTACCTCTATGTGGATGGGGTTGGACAGATAAAATATTAGTGAACTTGATCTTGTTTGGTCTCTGTACCTCCATTAGTGGATGTTTTCTCATTTTGTTTTTTTCCAAAAATCAGAGTCTTGGGTTAGCACTCTCTCCCATTTTTCTACCTGTGCCTCAGTTTCACTCAATGTAAAGTACCTTGTCATTGGCCTCAAATGAGAGGCATAGTGTCTGCCATACATGTCAGTTGTATTTGTCCATATGATTATTTTCTACTCTTTCATTTTTCTACATTGTATGGAGTTTAATTGAAACTCTGCCTATTAACTGAATTAACTATGTTTTTTAGTTATAATACATACCTCTTACAGTTTATACCCAGTTCCATTTTGTTATCTGTGCCTAGAGAATGTGCCCTTAAGCAGTCACATTCTAGAAAACTGAAAAAGGAGTAAGAGGGAAATATTAGCAATTACAACAAGCCTTCCGTAATGAAGACAGCACAGTACTGGCCCATGAATAGACAGTAGAAAAGAATAAAATACAGCTGTTATACTAATTATGGAAATTGCAAATAGTATCAAAATGATAATTCAGTTCATAGGGGGGGGTGTCTTATTTACCAAAGAGTATTGGTACAATAGATTTTCAAGTAGAAGAAAATAAAGTTAGATCTCTACTTTAAACCAAAGGTCTATGTGTGAAAAAGTGAAGAATAAAAGAGTAAAAGAGTATTTATTATCTCTGATGAGAGGGACTATCTTAGGAAAAACAAAATAGCATGTCAAGCAAAAACAAGAATTTTGACAAAGTACCCATTAAAAAATATATATAGAAACAATCTTTTAAGTAAAGGCTAAATGCAGATGTTGGATGGGGAGAAAATATTTGTAACACAGAGCTGAGAGAGGGACAGGATCTTTAAAATGCAGAGTTTTGCCATGGCTAGAGTGGCCCAGTTGGTTGGATCATCGTCCCGTAAACCAGAATGTTGCAGGTTCAATTCCTGGTCAGGGCACATGCCTAGGTTGCAGGTTTGGTCCCCTGTCAAGACACATGCAAGAGGCAACAGATCAGTGTTCCTCTCTCACATTGGTGTTTCTCTCCCTCTTTCTCCTTCCCTTCCCCTTTCTATACTATCAGTAAGCATGTCCTCCGGTGAGGATGAAAATTAAATAAATTAAATAAAATTCAGAGACCTTTCAGAAACAGATTTGAAAAAAAAAACCTAAGGAAAATTGATAAAGAATACAAACAGGCATTTATTACTTATTGGCATTTCTTCATAAGTTGCTAGTCAACCTTGCTAGTAGTCAGAAAAACACAAATTTAATAGATACCATTTTCCCCAATCATGATATTGGGAGAAATGTAAAAGATCTGGACCTCCAGCCCTGGACAGTGTGGCTCCGTGGGTTGGAGTGTCGTCCCAAAAGGTTGCAGGTTCGTTCTCCGGTCCCACGTATGATCCCCAGTCCAGGCTCACGTAGGAGGCAAACAGTCAATGCTTCTCTCATCTGTGTTTCTCTCTCTGTCTTTCCTCTCTTTGTCCAAAAAGCAATGGAAAAATGTCCTTGGATGAGCATATTTAAAAAAAAGACTTTGACCTCTAGAGTGTGCGATACAGTACTCAGAACTGAAAATAATTGTTATCATCTTACCACTACAGAACAGAGCAAAAACATTACTTCCTAGTTCTAGATATTGTATTTCTTAGTGAAATTTATGCTTGAATTAGTTTTTTTGATATCCTTGCTATAGGAGCAACCAAAGTCCATCCACTCTCTTCCTCCCTGGCCTCACTTGGGAAGAATATCTAACTAAGGCTTTAGGTCAGGCTCTTTCACTTCTTGCCCACTGTTGAAACAGCATTCTATTTGCTAACTTCTATCTCTAATATAGTTTTAGATCTGCTTGAGGCTAAAAGTTGTACATGTGTGTTTTGAAAGTGTCTGACATGGTCTTTTATCCTTAAGACTGGAGAATTGTGGTGCTTAAAGACATTTAGGGGTCAAAAGTCATGGTGAACAAAAAAACTACAGAGGATTTTTAAAAATTTCTCCCAAAAGTTTATACAGAGTGTTTTATAAGTCCAAGGTTGATAAAAAGCTAGAAAAAATAAAGTGTGTTTTCAAAGATACGAAGTTAGAGATGTTGAGTATCCATGATAGAATTAGGAAATACTTATCATTACTCTCTAAACTGAATGCCCTGGTGTAACTTTTTGGTGGTAAGATATTGTATTAGATATAAACTTTTAATTCATCTGCTTGCCTCAGATTTCTGCACTGAATTAGAAGTGGTCAAAATAGAGCAAAACTTTTACACCTTTGATGAAGAAAATAGTTCGCAGGCTGGTTTCCACTTCCTGTCAAGCTAGTTCCAGTCATTGATCCCCTCACCTCCAATCAGCTCTGAGGAAACCAGAGGAGTGAGAGGGAAATGCAGGGAGACTGAGGTTGTCTTGAACCTCTGAGTGTTTATGAATGGGTAGGGCGTGGTGGATGCAGCCTGGGACTGAGGACTGCCAGGGGTAGCAGTGACAAAATAGATGGGAAGAAGGCTAATCTGTTATTGGTTGCTGATACTGCCTTCAGACTGTCTTTTCCTGCCCTTTCACCAGCATGTTCATTTCAAAGGTCCGCTGAGGTTCTGACAGTATTAAGTAAACAAGTGCGCCCTAACTGCGCCTCGGGGATCACCTTTGTACGTCTTCTTCCCATTCCCTCCAAACTCCTGGGAGACTTCTGTGCCCCAGTGCTGCTTCTCCCTAAGAGTTGCAATTGGAATTCACAACAGAAGTTCTGAGATCCTGGAGCTCTTTACTTTGGGCCTCCTCTTCTCTTCCTAAATTCACCAGATGGGATACAAGTAGAGCCTGGTGACCATACATATTACCACAGTGGCTGGTATTCTAGAAGAACATTAATTTATAGCCAAACTAGTCACCTGACTAGTACAATTTCTTTCAAAGAAAGACAACTACGTTAAATATACTATCCGATGGAGAATTATTGGAAAAGATTGACCAAGGTTAAAATAAGCATGATAAATATATTTGAGATAAGAAAGATACAAGCAGTAAAACACAAGAACAAGAAAACAAAAAACATAGAACCAAGTAGAAATATTAGGTATGAAAACTGTAGTAAAAGTAAATACATGAGCCTGCATGACAGTCGAAGGTATACATGATGAGCAACTTCATGAGCTGGAAGATGACACTGAGAAGCACTCCTGAGAATGCAGCATTAAATTGATGAAGAGAGCACACACAGATTAAAAGCAAGAGGTATGAAAGTTAGATGCAGAAGGGCTTCTATTCATATAAATAGGAATCCGAGAGGAGAGAATAAAAAAGGGAGGAGGAAATGTTTGAAGAAATAATAAAGATAAATCTCTCAAAATGAAAACTAGCGGAAGACCTTAAACTGAAAGGGTCGAAGACTGTTAAATATGGGGAAGAGAAACCCACCACTGGACCCATTTATAGTGACATAATGTCAAAGACAAAAAAACATTCTAAAAGCTTCCAGTGAAAAAAAAGCAGACCACTTACAAAGGAATAAGAATTA